TTAAAGTGCTACTTGCATGAAAATGGTCTTATTTCAAAACTTCAAGCAATACAAATATATGACTCATATATATCTATTAAAAACAATTACGGGAAAATATTTCTTTTGGAATTATCCCACATCAGAGAAATTTTGATTTAAAAGATGGAAGAACAAAAGGATTGAGTAAATGACGTCATCTACTCCAACATTTTTTGCCCAAATTATTAAGGATTTGTATCAATATCTTCTTGAAATCTGTTGCTTCATGATTATTAGACCCATATGACCATATGGATAGGTCTATTTGATGTCCAAGTCTTTTCTAATGTTTCGCAATTTTCGTCCAAGTAGCCCTTTAACAAATCTGTTAATGTTATTCAACTGTTTATATAATATAAATCTGGAACAACTCCTTGCATAATTAAAAGATTCAATATTTAACAATTATTCGCCGAAGGCGAAGTGATTATCAATGAATATTTACCGAGCGGCGATTCCGCTTCATTGATAATCACTGAGCCTGAGGTGAATAATTGTTTTAGTATAATTTCATAAGTGAATATTCATAAAAATAGAGAAAAAAGAACTACTGCATTTTCGTAAAATGTTATGTGGCGGGGATTGAAGATGGCGGTCGAGGGCCGCTCGTTTGACAGCAAAGTCGTCTTCTTGTTATAATTTMCATCTTTCTATCTTATGGACACGTAAAACTTTGATAGACACTTGTTTAATTCACTTGTATCCATGTCTTCAAAGCTGACAGTGAATTCAGACTGTTGTTGAAACCATTTTGTCAAAAAATGTATCGAGTAAAATGTAAACAAACCAGGCGAAAACCTACAAATTTCAGCCTGTTTGGCGTAAAATGATAGATAAAAAAGTAGTTTTAGACAATGTTATTATTAAACTTACCTGTAAAAAGGTTCAATCCAATTTTTTTAATCCAATTGTTTAATCCAACGACTCGCGGAGGACGCCATTTTGCGAAAAAATCCAATATTCACCTATAGAATATGTCAACAAGCCCTTCTACTATTACTATATTATTATTATCGCTTACGAGAGTGATCGTTCAAAGAGAGTTAACTGTATGTCGCCTTTAGACCTAAAAACCGGAAGTATTGGTTTCCGGGTGTTGTCGCCCGAAGCCACCGGAGATACTAATGATGTACTAGGTGATTCGCCATTAACTCTGCGACGAAGTTTTGAAGTATATTTTCTAAAATAATTGGTGTATATCACGCGCTGTTATTGGTGAAAAAGCGTGTTTTGATGACCTTTGATGAGAGTATCAAGCACGCTCGCGTCATCGTTGCTTTGTGGATTGTACTTTCATTGTGAAAATGTACATTAAATTGCCTTGAAGCTCAAGCAAAAAACTTCCAAACTTTGTTTACACATTACGACAAACGGTTTCGCATCGTGATTTCCTACGCTTCTCTCGTGTTCTCCCAACATCCCGCGTGTTTTGATCAGACCGCTTATCAAACACGAAAATCCGTTTTATATTTAAGAATTCTCCCAGTGTTTGCATGAGGCTATGTAAACACAGGGAAAAAGTTATCTATTGCTTATATAAAATAACTCTTTTTCCTAAAATATGGCTTTAAAAACTTTAGAATTCGAGTATAATTTTTATGATCAAAACTAGGTTTCTCCTTACCTCAAACATTTCAATGTCTTTTTCAACCAGCCAATTACAGTTCACGTTTTAACGAAAGACGAAGTTGGCAGGTTTGACAAAATGTGAAAAAAATGGCGGACGACGGCGGGCGACTTTCTTTCTTTCTTTGTGCATCAAAATTGCTTTTTTAGTGACCTTAGATGAATCATAAACTACGTGTTCTTTGAGGAGAAAGGGTGCATGTCTGTCAAAAAGTCAACTGAATGCAAAAAAAATTAGAAAAAGTTAGGTAAAACCAGCAACGGAAATATGTGTGCTGCTTTCGCAGAATGAAAACATTTACATCTTCGTCGATTCACTGATTTGAAGTAAAGCTTTATGTTACGTTTCCTTTCAGAATTGGTATGGAAATGATATCAAGATGAGATTTTTGAAAAACTGCAGGAAGATACTTGCTGAAAGACTTTGTTTTGACACTTTAAATGATGTTTGATTAGCCGCTTCGACGTGCCGGCACTTCAGCATCACCGACGAAAAAATTCACAAAGCCACAAATAACACATGAAAGGATTGGTCGTATGAACTCCGTTTCATGATAAGAAGGTGGAATTCATTTTCATAGAGATTTTTTATTGAACTGTTATCTAGTAACAATATCAAACTGAAGATAATTTTATGCGAGCGATGCAAGAACTGCAATATGACAACAAGTCGTACGAAAAAATTCCCAAAGCTACAAATAAAGACCTTGGTCGACTTGGTCTGATAAATTACGTTTAATAAATAAGCTGGTATTCATGTTAGGTTAAACTAGTAGCTTGTTTATCGTGAACTAGTAGGTAACGAATTTATAAAGAGACTCATTATTATGAACAATCGTTGAACTGAAAGAAGTCTCGATTCTCAAGCGCAAATCGACAAATTCTTGTACTACTTTTCTTATGTAGTAACTTATCTCAATAAAATGCCAAATACTCACTAAATTCCTCAATTTTTAGCTTCATAGAAAAAATTTTTACTTCCAGTTTCAAGATGCTTTGTTATCTATAGTTTATAACGAAGATTCTATGCACTCAAAACCTACAAGAAATAGTAAAACTTCATGCAGAATACTCATAACTAGTTGTTGCCAAGTTTTCGGATACATTATTTTATAAATAGCTGATTTTTTTCCTATTCTACTTCTAGTTTTGAATCGCACTTGGCAAAAAATGGTGACGTCAAAACCATGTCTACATACTCTGATGCAAACACGGCAGTCGGCCAATCAGAACGCGCGTAGTATCCAAGTTATTTTGTAATGTCTGATAGCAACATATAGCTATTAGATAACTAAAATTTCTGGAAATTAAACACAGATAGTCACCTCATTCCCTTGTGAAATCACAGCTCTAAGAAAATAAATCAGTCCCGAAGTTCAAATTTTTGCTTCCATAATCTGACCATAGCGGTGTCCCTTGCATCTCTTTACTATAATCTGACCATAGCGGTGTCCCTTGCATCTCTTTACTGTAATCTGACCATAGCGGTGTCCCTTGTCTCTTTACTATAATCTGACCATAGCGGTGTCCCTTGAATCTCTTTACTTTTATGCATTGTTTTCTGCAGAGATACGAGCGCTCGTTCGTTTACAGGACTGCACAATTATGGGAAACTGGTTTGTGAAATACTTGAGAGAAAAGGAACGGCCACTTTTGATGAGGTGGGAATCGTTTAGTTTTCATTGGAATTGATTGACAGTGTGTATTGGAATTTCATTTCGAATTAATTTAGCCACAAAATGTCCGTATAAATGTTGTGTTGTTCATATGCTTTACAAACAACGGAATATGACAAATGCAAATAGTATAGCAAAGGAAAACAATGTAGT